TAATAAAATAGATAATTTGGTGTGATGGAGGCAATAAGGGGAATGGAAAAAAATATGCATGCTTCGTACACTGAACCCTGAATACTAAACAGATGCAAAGTTAGTGAGGTAGAAATAGTGCAAACGACATATTGACTAAAGACAATGTTATATCATGTTTTAATCATGGCCGTGAAAAAAATCTTTAACAGGAACTGGCAATATGCTTTCAAACGGACATCTACATTGGGTCTGAATTAGGTAAGCAAGAGAGAAAGCAGGCCAAGCATAAGATTGTCTTCGTGTCTCATCCCTGATCATGCAGTTCTGTGAATTCTGTTTCCCTTCATTTGACACAATATCAAGAGAATGTAGCGGGGGATACGAGAACAACAGAAAGTGTCGATTTAATTAACCTGTCTAGTGCTGGACGGGGCGTACTGCGCACTGCTTGCATGAAAGTCCAGCACTGCCTAGGTAAGGTGTACTAATAAATAGACAAAGCGTACTCTGTCTGTTATGTTTGCGTCATATTTAGGCATGAGTTTGTAAAAAAAAGAAAAAAAAAGTTAACATATTTAGGAATGACATTTCTGCTCATAACTAAATTTTTTCTTTTTTTGCCTAAAATCAATCATGTTTAACGCAAAAGGGTTGGGTACCAGGATTTATATTGCGCCTGTGTATTTGCATTGTTTTGTTTATTGCAATAAGTGTGTTAAAGTGCAGTAACAAGACATAGCAGTGTTAACCCAGCAGTCTGGCAAAGGTACAGAATGCTGTATTTCTGTACACTGTATCATGTCATGGAGTAAATTGATATGCATTGCTGTCTGTGTGCTAGACTGCTGCTATTCCAATAGTTACTCCTCATCATTGCAAGTAATCTTTAGCAGGACATGTGACAATGACATTCTATGAGTGACATCCCCCACAAGTGCCAACCAGAATTAAAATCAGATACATTAATTTTATCTGCCGGCAACCACAGAACCAGTCTCATGTTTTGCAAACTTTTATTGTTTCCGATCTTTCTTAAATTTACAAATAATTATATTCTATATTTTTTTTATACTAATAAATTAAATTCACAAAATGTGATATTAATACAACTCAGACTTTTGCTGAATTAGATTTAACTTTACTGTTCAGTGGATTTCCTGTAGAGAACAATTAATTCTATTTTCTTGGGATACACATTGGTCGTGTTTATGTAAATGGGTAAACTCCGTTACTTATAACGCACAACGGAAGAATTATTTTAGTGGATAATTTGTTGCCCTTTTCTTCATAGAATGATTGATGTCCGTCTAGCATTTTTTAAGTTGAAAGATAGATAAACATTTTGAACACTATGGGGGGAAAAAACTTAACAAAACTATTTATTTGAATTGTTTTATTTTTAGATCATTTCAACAACGAGGATAAAATAGCAACACACCAAAGTGTGCAGGCCAAATCGAAAAAAATAAATCAATATGTGTCATGCCCATGCAATCATCCTTTGTTAGACAGATGCACCAGTGTTTCAACTGGGTGCGTTTTCAAGAGTTATACCAAATGTGCTTATACTAATTATTTCCATTGTATACTTCTAAATTTTAATTTGAAATAGCATTGAATTAAAACAATAACCTGCTAAAAAAATATACTAAAACTTATTCTAAAAATATTATTAATATAAAGAAATAAAGTTATACACACGTACTGAAGGCAGTACAACTCCAGCACATTCAAACTATACTTAAAAAAACAACAAAACAACAACAACAAAAAACTCTTGTGGCCAAGAATTTATTTAGAACTGTTAAAGCAAATCATTTCATGTTAATATTGTGGTCCAGCAGATTACGAAACCCACTGCTGAATAAACGTTCAATAGAAATCACCTTAACTTCTATCTTGGAGCAATGTGTTTGGCATTTATTAAAATTATTTGTTAAGACCAACAATAACTTAATAATAGCATATAATAGTCTATCATAGTGACATATGTAAAGTAAGACAAATGTATTAACACATTTTTGATGACCCTGCATCCTGTAAATTTGCAATCCAATTATTGAATCTTTGTCAGAATGCTGAATACACAAGTATAAAGTTTGAAGGGCACTATGTTACAAATTAAGGTATATCCCTCAAAATGCGGTGCTTTATTTTAAATGTTTGCAATAAAACCAGGCAAGCAACATTTTGTATGAAATGCCCTTCTTTTTTTTTACTTATTCAAAATACCAAAAAATAATAAAGTGCAGCATAATTATAATAACTTGCTGTATTATATAATTAGATATTAACTAATTATATTTATTGTACAGTATGAATTACATTCCAAATGTTGCTAATATTCTGAATCATTTTCAGTAACCAACTATTAGCTTAGATATAAATAGATAGGCCATTGTGAAATATTTTTTTGCAATTGTATCAGAAATAGGTATGCTGTACTGATAAATCATACAAAATGTTATTCAAAGGTTTCTCTAACCAAAAACATTATTTTGGTTGAAGTAACGCTTGCTGACATGGTTCTTCCCTCTTTTAACAAAAGAAAAAAGATCCAACGCAAAGGTTTACCTGTAATCCCAAGCCGAGGCCAAGTTTTCCTGCAGTCAGTCCTCCTCCAATGATGTCATTCCCTCCTCACTGGAGGGGAATGGATGTTTTGGTGGACAGTCTGGGAAGAGGGTTGTGGTGCTATTGGACATCTGTTGTATTTCTACTAAACATTTTTTTTTTCATTTTCATTTGGGCAGCGGAGTGTCCCTTTAAAGATAATTGCACATGACTACTGGTGGAATTTTGTGTTTTCTGAATTATTTTTATAGATATCCTGAAAATGCAAACTGTTATTAGAAGTTACTAATAAATAGATGCAATTAAACATAGTTTTAAATCCGTTTTAAAACATTAAAAATGTTACATTTTATACCAGATTCTTCTGACTAAATCCTTATACCCTAATCACTCTTAAGTTAATAAATATGTTTTGCTAACAATCTAATGATTATTTAGTCCCTGCATGGATTCTAAATATTTCAAAGTTTATGTGACTCTCTACTTGTGTTTTATTTCTGATTCCCTTAAAAAAGCAAGACTTACTTTACTTTATGTAGGGGGTAAAACCCGTCCATTCTACCCATCATATCTAAAACCAAAGGGCTTCTAGTCGTTGCACTGAAAACACAGCTACTGGGAGAACTGAGGACATCTGTATGACATAAAATGATAATGTTAGGGGAATTGATGTGTAAATCTGTTTATGTTGTTCAGGTCAACATTGGTATTGTCTCTGTTTGCTGCAACTGATCACTTGTTTCAATGCACATGGTGTAGTCACGTCAAGCTGGTATTACTGTATTACAGTAATAAAGAAAACTTGAGAAAGGTCAATAAAACTAACCAGACACTAATATAGTGTTGAATTGTAAGGCATTTGCTTGTTATTGAGTACACGCTGAGTAGAATGTTTAAATTAGAATAGCCAGTAGCATTGTACTGTTAGCAATTCTTATTACTTGTAACTTTAACAGCAGAGTCAAAAATCTGTAAAGTAACTACGCACATTTGTTAAAAAGAACTTGTCTTACTGTACTTTATGGTGCCATGGCATCATAATTACCTCAATAAATACCTACATAAATTTTACTTGCTGTTTTGTGTGAATTATTATTTATATCAATGAAGGAAAATGAAGTTTACTTTACATAACTGCTGATCATATGCCGTTTATTCACATATGTGGTGACATATAATGTTTTCTAAAGGGCAGGTGCTTCATGGCCTTGGAAATCAACATTAGAAAATTGAGGAAAGCAAACTGTAGAAAAAATATGTATCTTTAAATGGTAGTGTCAGTTTTAAAAAGAAGGTTCAAAGAATTGAGTTAGTTGAATAATATCACTTCTTCGGTGTATTATGAATATATAACTGGTAGGGGACGACACTTCCTGGTTGTGACCACTACATTTAGCTTAATTTTATGCAGATAGACAGGCTATGACAAGAGGCACATGGTCACCTCTTCCTACAGCAAGTATTCCTTCATGTAACACAGGGGTGTCCAAACTTTTTTCAAAGAGGGCCAGATTTGATGAAGTGAACATGCATAAGGGCCAACCATTTTGCCTGACATTCTTTGAACCATTAAAATTGAATGCAAATTAACTATTTTATGCAAAGTTTATTGCAAGCGGCATACTTTTCATTTCATGTCTTTATTCTGTCTCAGATCTCTTTATTTTGTCTCTTCTCTCTTTAGTCTGTCCATTCTCTATTCTTTATTCTCTCCCTTCTCTCTTCTTTATTCTGTCCCTTCTCTATTCTTTATTCTCTCCCTTCTCTCTTCTTTATTCTGTCCCTTCTCTCTTTATTCTGTCCCCTCTCTTTATTCAGTCTCTTCTCTCTTTATTCTGTCCCTTCTCTCTTCTTTATTCTGTCCCTTCTATCTTCTTTATTCTGTTCCTTCTCTTTTCTTTATTCTGTCCCTTCTCTTCTTTATTCTGTCCCTTCACTATTTATTCTCTCCCTTCACTCTTTATTTTGTCTCTTCTCTCTTTATTCGGTCTCTTCTCTCTTCTTTATTCTGTCTCTTCTCTCTTCTTCTGTCCCTTCACTCTTTATTCTGTCCCTTCTCTCTTTCTGTCTCAGATCAATTACTTCTGTCCCTTCACTCTTTATTCTGTCCCTTCGCTGTTTATTTTGTCTCTTCTCTCTTTATTCTGTCTCTTCTTTATTCTGTCCCTTCTCTCTTTATTCTGTCCCTTCTCTCTTTATTCTGTCTCTTCTCTCTTTATTCTGTCCCTTCTCTCTTTACTCTGTCCCTTCTCACTTCTTTATTCAGTCCCTTCACTCTTTATTCTGTCTCTTCTCTCTTAATTCTGTCCCTTCTCTCTTTATTCTGTCCCTTCTCTCTTTATTCTGTCCCTTCACTCTTTATTCTTCCTCTTCTCTCTTTATTCTGTCCCTTCTCTCTTTATTCTGTCCCGTCTCTCTTTATTTTGTCTCTTCCCTCTTTATTTTGTCTCTTCTCTCTTTATTCTGTCTCTTCTTTATTCTGTCCCTTCTCTCTTTATTCTGTCCCTTCTCTCTTTATTCTGTCCCTTCTCTCTTTACTCTGTCCCTTCTCACTTCTTTATTCAGTCCCATCTCTCTTTACTCTGTCCCTTCACTCTTTATTCTGTCTCTTCTCTCTTTATTCTGTCCCTTCTCTCTTTATTTTGTCTCTTCACTCTTTATTTTGTGTCTCCTCTCTTTATTCTGTCCCTTCTCTCTTCTTTATTCTGTCCCTTCACTCTTTATTCTGTCTCTTCTTCACTCTGTCCCTTCTCTCTTTATTCTGTCCCTTCTCTCTTTATTCTGTCCCTTCTCTCTTTACTCTGTCCCTTCTCTCTTCTTTATTCTGCCCCTTCTCTGTTTACTCTGTCCCTTCAGTCTTTATTCTGTCCCTTCTCTCTTCTTTATTCTGTCCCTTCACTCTTTATTCTGTCTCTTCTTCACTCTGTCCCTTCTCTCTTTATTTGGTCCCTTCTCTCTTTATTCGGTCCCTTCTCTCTTTCTGCCTCAGATCTCTTACTTCTGTCCCTTCTCTCTTTATTCTGTCCCGTCTCTCTTTATTTTGTCTCTTCCCTCTTTATTCTGTTCCTTCACTCTTTATTCTGTCCCTTCACTCTTTACTCTGTCCCTTCTCTCTTTATTCTATCTCTTCTTTATTCTGTCCCTTCTCTCTTTCTGTCTCAGATCAATTACTTCTGTCCCTTCACTCTTTATTCTGTCCCTTCACTGTTTATTTTGTCTCTTTTCTCTTTATTCTGTCTCTTCTTTATTCTGTCCCTTCTCTCTTTATTCTGTCCCTTCTCTCTTTATTCTGTCCCTTCACTCTTTATTCTGTCTCTTCTCTCTTTATTCTGTCCCTTCTCTCTTTATTTTGTCTCTTCACTCTTTTTGTGTCTCCTCTCTTTATTCTGTCCCTTCTCTCTTCTTTATTCTGTCCCTTCACTCTTTATTCTGTCTCTTCTTCACTCTGTCCCTTCTCTCTTTATTCTGTCCCTTCTCTCTTTACTCTGTCCCTTCTCTCTTCTTTATTCTGCCCCTTCTCTGTTTACTCTGTCCCTTCAGTCTTTATTCTGTCCCTTCTCTCTTTATTCGGTCTCCTCTCTTTATTCGGTCCCTTCTCTCTTTCTGCCTCAGATCTCTTACTTCTGTCCCTTCTCTCTTTATTCTGTCCCGTCTCTCTTTATTTTGTCTCTTCACTCTTTATTTTGTGTCTCCTCTCTTTATTCTGTCCCTTCTCTCTTCTTTATTCTGTCCCTTCACTCTTTATTCTCTCTCTTCTTCACTCTGTCCCTTCTCTCTTTATTCTGTCCCTTCTCTCTTTATTCTGTCCCTTCTCTCTTTATTCTGTCCCTTCTCTCTTTACTCTGTCCCTTCTCTCTTTATTCTGTCCCTTCTCTCTTCTTTATTCTGCCCCTTCTCTGTTTACTCTGTCCCTTCAGTCTTTATTCTGTCCCTTCTCTCTTTATTCGGTCTCTTCTCTCTTTATTCTGTCCATTCTCTCTTTCTGCCTCAGATCTCTTACTTATGTCCATTCTCTCTTTATTCTGTCCCTTCTCTCTTTATTTTGTCTCTTATCTCTTTATTCTGTCCCTTCTCTCTTCTTTATTCTGTCTCTTCTCTCTTTACACTTTATACATATGTCCCTGCATTCACACAACACAATCTGCACTCTTGCTTTTTTATTCATATGGAATGATACTCTGAACACAGAGGCCCCTGCATTCACACACATTGGCCATGCCCACATAGGCTCCTGCATTTGCATACAGTGAGGGGGAAAAGTATTTGATGCCCTGCTGATTTTGAACGTTTGCCCACTGACAAAGAAATGATCATTCAATAATTGTAATGGTAGGTGTATTTTAACATTGATAGATAGAATAACTACAACAAAAAATCCAGGACCTTAATGTGCTTCTTCTTGAGCCACTCCTTTATTGCCTTGACTGTGTGTTTTGGTCATTATCATGCTAGAATACCCATCCACAACCCATTTTCAATGCCCTGGCTGAGGGAAGGAGGTTCTCACCCCAGATTTGATGGTACATGGATCCGTCTATCGTCCCTTTAATGCGGTGCAGTTGTCCTGTCCTGTTAGAAGAAAAACACCCCAAAGCATAATGTTTCCACCTCCATGTTTAATGGTGGAGATGGTGGTCTTGGGGTCATAGGCAGCATCCCTCCTCCTCCAAACATGGCGAGTTGAGTTGATGAGTTTGGTCTCATCTAACCACAATACTTTCACCCAGTTCTCCTCTAAATTATTCAGATGTTCATTGGCAAACTTCAGATGGGCCTGTACATGTGCTTTCTTGATCAAGGGGATCTTGCGGTTACTGCATGGTTTCAATACTTCACAGCGTAGTGTGTTACCAATTGTATTCTTGGTGACTATAGTCACAGCTGGATTGATATAATTAACAAGATCCTCCCTTGAAGTTCTGGGCTGATTCCTCACCGTTCTCATGATCATTGAAACTGCACGAGGTGAGATCTTGCATGGAGCACCAGACCTAGGTTATTTTGTGTTTCTTCCATTTGCTAATAATCGCACCACCAGTTGTCATCTTCTCACCATGCTGCTAGCCCATTCTAAGCCTTGTGCAGCCTGGTGTAGGTCTGCAATCTTGTACCTGACATCCATGGACAGCTGTTTGGTCTTGACCATGGTGGAGAGTTTGTAATCTGATTGATCGATTGCTTCTGTGGACAGGTATCTTTTATACAGGTAATAAACTGAGATTAGGAGCACTCCCTAATCTCAGAGTGCTCCTAATCTCAGCTCGTATAAAAGACACCTGGGAGCCAGAAATCTTGCTGATTGATAGGGGATCAAATACTTATTTCACTTATTGACATGCAAATCAATTTATAACTTTTTTGAAGGGCCCCTGAAAATCTAACTTTAGATATATTAATAATAATAATAACAACAACAAAGTATTTAATTGGAAAGGTACATTCAGATTACTCTGGTTTTCAAGTACGTCTTGGAGGTGTTTCTTTTGCCCAACGTCAAGGGGTATCAGATATGCAGGTAATGAAGCAGTGAAGCAGCTAGGGTAAACAGTACACCATCAATGTTTAGTCAAAAAGTGGCTTACTCCAGGATTCCTAATGAAAGTGCCATTGTGGACTGAAATATTGAGGGTGTGACATTTGCTGTAACTGATTTTTCTACAATAAAACAGTTATTCGAAGTCCAGTAAATTTTTCAATTGTTTATTTTTAAATACATTAAAGCCAGAAAACATTACATTCTATGTGATTTCAGCAAGTGTGTTAACTTTTGACTATTGTTTTTATATATATTATTTTTATTTAAAAAAAATACAATTTATATATATATATATATATATATAAAAGTACATATATGGTTTCATAATAAATTACATAGATTAGGTGCGTATCAGGTATTGCACATATTTCATAACTGCTAATGTGTTTTTTTAATCATCCTTTACTTAAGTATTAATGTATATAACATGTTTATTATAAATTGGCTTCTGTCTCAAATATTTATGTATGTTGTACAGATAATGTTTGCGTCACCTCATACTGTAAAATGCTCACATTCACAATCTGCTTTTTAAATTAAAAATACACATGGGTAAAGAGATAGTTATGCTTCATAAATAATTGCAATTCCCAGCTACCCAGAGCCTTGATCGATAATAATAATATGTTTCTGTACAGCTGTGTTTTTTTATATCAGAATATATTATACGTGCTGCTCTTTGTAAACTGTAAGCCAGCGAGATTCTCGATGAAAATTAGTGTTATGTAGAGTCTCCAAATTCTATCAAATCCAACAGAAATACACAAAAAAAGTGTATATATAGTATGTAATGGTGACATTACCTTGCTTGGTTTATTTAGTCTGTTAAAGGCAAGTTCCCTTGAAAATACAAGTAGGATTTCTATGTTTTTGATGAGTATATCTTATCAAGAATAAAACCGTTAAAATTATAAGAAAATATGACATAATGTCAACAATATATTCATCCTTTCTCTCCAAAAACAGTAAATATACTTGTGGATCATACTCCATAGTCTCATGTACACCATTCTTTTTTATTTCTATATTTTTTTTTTGCCTTTTCTACTGGTAGATAAACCCATATATGCTGATTTTCAAAGTACAGATATGATTTTTTTTAAAAAACAAAAACAACTCAACATGCTTAGTATGTGATCACATGAATTTCTAAAAGGATGAGTGGTTAACTGCTACTAATTTTGAGCATTAGAACCACACATGGCCAGCTTCAAGAGTATTAAACCCACGGGGCACACAACAAGAGGATGCTGCCACATTGCCCAGGAATGATGTTGATTGGTGCAATGGAGAGCAGAGGGAGGTGTGCCATATGGAGGACCAGCTTTGTTTTTGTAATTTATGTTGTTGACTGAGTGATTAACACCAGTAAAATCTACAGGCCTTCCCTGTGTCACGTAGAGACTGGATTGTAAATGTTTTATAGCTATGATGCTTTGTGTGAGAGGAGTGGCAGGGCTAGAGTTTTATACCCCCAACTCTCCTCGCACACAGAATCCACACTGGAGTCACCGCCATGAGAAATGTGATCATACCTGACCTTACTACCAATCAAAGCAGGGGAAAAGGAGAAAAATTTGTAAATCAAATGGGACAGATGTGTAGAAAGGGTGATAGGAGGCTCTGTTGAAGGTAAAGATAGCATGTAGATAAGTAGATAGGTAGAAAAAGAAATGTGAGAAAGAAATAGAAATACACACAAGGAGTAGATGGTGCGAGGCACAATTGGGAAGACAAAGAACCACATACACACAGAAATATTGACATACACATTGTGACAAACAGAACCTTGTCATGGGTTCTTGGAGGGGCCTGCTTGCCAGCCTCCTGCCAAAAGACTATAAGCCCTCTTTAAAAACTATGTGAACAGACTTGGTTCATGGGATTTTATATGTGGTTTGGGAACCAAACAGACGCACGAACCAGAGACTACCTGGGAGCTTGTTAAGACTAATTGACAGTTTGTAACACTTTCCACCACAGTGTTCTAAGTATTCGTCTGGGTGGCCGCTGTTTGCATGAACGGCCCCGAGGTGGCAGACATCTTGTTCCTGCGAATGCAGGCAGCAGTGTTAGGTCATCGAGTTCATTGATCTGTTTTCGGACACTGAAACTCCCGAACTCTGCTGGACTTCCAGGATCACCTGCGTTTGGTTCTAAACAACAAGGGCACTGTTCGGTGGAAACGTTCCCACGAACAAGGCGAACAAGCTCCAGGGTAAGACTCTTGAATACGTTCGGTAGTTTGCTTGGTATTTAAACTACCGAACTAGACCGACCGCAAGCCCTGATTCTCTGGAACGGTTTTCGTCAGGAGCCTCATGTGCGGTCAGTCAAATTATGACTTCCATGGAAACCCCTGAACCAAACTGTGGGACAAACATATCCAAAAATAACCCAGATCGGTTCAGGGGTTCGGGATTTCAGGGCTATTAGGAGATATGACATGTGTTTTGGGGTATTGTAAAATGTATGTTTTCTGTGCCTGGAGATAATTGAGTGTAATATAGTTCCTGACTCAATTATCTCCCAGGCACAGAGAAGGGATTATCTTGTTTTATATGGGAGTGTCCTGGACCTGAGAGCCAATGTAATCATGTGTATGTTTCTGCTGTACTCTACTCTCAGGTCCAGTGGGGAATGCCCCTGGAATATGTAACCAGAAACCCCTTGCATGGGGACCTGCATATAAGGCCATTAAACGCTTTACCCCTTCATGAAGTCTAGGCTCATGTTTGGGGGATTGGAGAGCTATATTCACTCTGGGAATTTCTATAAGTCCCTATACTCCCTTGCTTTACAACACTTGCTCTTGTTATAGCAGCTTGCTTTGTTCTATGGACTAGGAGAGGTCTACCCACTGGAAGCTGGATCCTGGTCTTGGGTCCAGGGTGGGAACAGCAAGACCCAAACCAAGCTGTGGGGTTTGCGGTGGTTATGGTGTCCGGTGCGGTGTTTATGGTACTCAAGGTTTACTAGGAAGCAGCGATTGACGGAGGTAACCAGTCAGGGTGCCAGGCGGTCCGTCACACACATATACTGACATTTCACATGACATATACTGATGGAGTGTATTCAGGACACTCGTTTAGGATAGGGGCTGCATCTACGACATCAAGCCAGGACATTCCAGTTCATGTTATTAAGACTTTAGGTCGCTGGAAGTCATCAGCTTATACGGTATACATACCCCAACCGGTACAGGAAATACGGAATGCATTCGTTAAGATGTCCTCCTAAAATGTATGTGTGTTATATCATGTTTCTTTCCTCAATAAAAGTATTTGAGTATGATTGGTATTCCTTTCTGCCTACTTTATTTACCGGCCTACTGCCTACGTCGGTTTCAGCACACCTCAACCGACTTTTTCCTACCATAGGTTTTTTTGACTATTATCTTAATTCATATCATAACCAAGGTTGCCCCGAACACAAATAATGATATTGCCAACATTCACACATGAACATCAAGATATACATATATACTCATAGTGCACACAGGAACACCAAAATATACTCTGAATTGTGACCAATAAAATCAGAATGGCAGAACTGATGCTAAAATAGCTTCGACTATAGCTGATTTGGAGAATGTTTGGCCTCAATCTTGACATTCAACATTTAATTTGCTACAAACTGGTTTAATACCCAGATTGACATCTACACAAGAAATAATGATATGGTGAATAGGGACACATGCATTCACAATTGTTGTACACACATAAACATTTATTTGCACCAATAATGCACACACTATATATTCAACGGAAATATATTTCCATTATCTCTGCTTAGATTATACACACGTGTATGTTTACTTCAATTATATTTCGCATAGCAGATCTTCCTGGTCAACGTCTCAAATACTGAATGAGTAGATGTCCTCAGCTGTCACAAACATTTGTCACTCAAAAATGTGTTTTTCCCCTGGAATTAGTAGCTATTACTAATATTTCATACATCCAGTCACAAACTAAATCGTGATTTTTCTTATTTCTTTGTCACCCATAAGGATTTGTCCAAACATAGCACCTGATAAAAGCTAGATAGTTGATCCACCTGATGCTAAAGTCCCATTTGGATTACAGCATTTCAATAAAGTACCAGTACCTATTAACACATCCAATTCATTATTTGAGTTTTTCTCTCATTATCTGTTTATTGCTATCTTACCAGCTTTACCATGTTTCTTGTCCATCTCTCTTGCGCAGTTTTGTTTTCTAATATCATCATTACTAGGGTTATTGCATGGCATGTAATTATTTGAGAATCCCAGTTTTGGAGCAGTTAACTGAAATACAAAACAAATCCTTGAAAGCTTGCTTTTACTTTTTTTTTATTTTGCTTTTGCTTTCAGCAACCAAGCCACCAAAGAAACATTTCACTCACTTCCATGTGCTGACTTGGTTTCCTTTTCCATTAACATGTTAAATGACAGAGAAGTGGTGGCTCGCAGCAATTTTGGCCTTTACTCATTGGTATTGCACTGGGGTTACGACTGTCCTGGCATAATGGATTTAGTTAATTCCAGTGGTTTTCAAGTCCCATTCACTGATCCATTATTGCTAGCAGTAAGTAAGGCTCAGAGAGCCCAGAAGCCTAATTATCAGCTCTTATTTAATTTGGGATTGTGTTGAAGTGTCTGAAAACAGACGTAACATAGCTAAATTGAAGAGCTACTATTCATAATGTAAACTTGGCACCATGATGGTTAAAATGGGAAGTACTTAAACATATACAAAACCGAAATCGGGGAGGGTGTAGAACAAAATTTAACAGCCTTTATTCTACTCTATCTACTTGTTATAAATGCTTAAAAAGGATGAATTAAGCTTTAAGCTTTCAAAAGCACAAGATCAAAGTGGATGTTTTTAATTTAAACCTTTTGTTGCATTTATAGTCCAAAGAGGGATGAAAGATCAAAATGAAACTACAACAAACTGGATCTTTGTAGCTGTTTGTGTTTTTTTGTTGCTCTCTCAATTTGAGCCACAAAATAGGTCAGCTGCATAACAGATCAATCTCCCCACAAATATTTAAAAACAAATTGAATTGCACACCCAATACCCATCACAATTAAACCAGGCACAATAACTAAATTAGCAATTCAGCAAAATAATTGGAAATGCGATTCTGCTTGTTCTACCACCATCCCTCGAGGCTTTATCCCATCTATAGGAGGGGGATGGAGGGAGAGAGTCGGCTTCACTAATTCTGAAACTAATTAGATACACACTTGTAAATGAAGTTGTTTGTCGGAAAGTTGAAATTCTCTGCTGGGGAAGCGGGAAAATATATCTAATATGAATGGTGTATGATTATTATTATTTTATATTTTTATAATGGTTGTTCTGTGGCTATATTTAAAAAATATTATCAAGAATGAACAATACCCAGAGGGAAGTACAACAGGCACAATTCTAGACAGAAAGAGAAAGGAAGGTAGTCTTTTCTAATGGAGGAAAAAAAGGTAGATTAGAGCCAGATTTAAATTTAAGCATACATTATTTAGTAAGTTGTATGTGTGTGTGAATGTATGTGTATACATATATATATATATATATATATATATATTTATATATATATACACACACACACACACACACACATATGCATTATACAGTGAGGGGGTGAAAGTATTTGATCCCCTGCTGATTTTGAACGTTTATCCACTGACAAAGAAATGATCAGTCTATAATTGTAATTTTAACAGTGAGAGACAGAATAACAAAAAAAATCCAGAAACACGCATGTCAAAAAAGTTATAAATTGAATTGCATGTCAATGAGTGAAATAAGTATTTAACCCCTTCGACTTAGTACTTGGTGGCAAAATCCTTGTTTTCAATCGCAGAGGTCAGACATTTATTGTAGTTAGCCACCAGGTGTGCACACATGTAGATCGTCTCCAAGTCATTAAAGTATCAAGGCTGACGTTTGGCAACTTGAACCTTCAGCTCCCTCCACAGATTTTTCTATGGGATTAAGGTCTGGAGGCTGGCTAGGCCACTCCAGGACCTTAATGTGCTTCTTCTTGAGCCACTCCTTTGTTGCCTTGGCTGTGTGTTTTGAGTCATTGTCATGCTGGAATATCCATCTACATCACAATTTCAATGCCCTGGCTGAGGGAAGGAGGTTCTCACCCAAGATTTTATAGTACATGGTCCAGTCCATCGTCCCTTTGATGCGGTGCAGTTTTCCTGTCCCCTTAGCAGAAAAACACCCCAAAGAATAATGTTTTTATCTCCATGTTTGACCGTGTGTTCTTGGGGTCATAGGCAGCAGTCCTCCTCCTCCAAACATGGTGAGGAGGAGCACTGTGATGGTGACCCTACGTTCTGGAGTTGAGGGATCGCCTGCAGGCTCTCACTGACTCCGTTAGAGAGATTCTGAAGGCGGCCCAGCGGTGCCAGAAGAGGTGGTATGACAGGGGTGCCCGAGATAGGATCCTAGAAATAGGACAGAAGGTGTTAGCTCTGAAATCGACTAAAAAAGAAAAGCTTCAGGCCGGCTGGCAGGGACCCTTCCGGGTAGTGGAGCGCATAAGCGACATTACTTGCATTGTAGGAAAATGTTCAGATGAAAGGATACGCGATCCTTTCATGTGAACATGTTAAAACCCTACTTCGAGAGGACAGAGGACGTGGCTGCGGTATGTACCCCCTCTTTCAAGGATAGTGAAAACCTTCCCTTACTCTGCCTTTTCTAGGGGGCTCAAGTTTTCCCCAAGGCTGACCTGCTCCATGCTACCTGAAGATGGGGCGAGCAGGTCAGCCTAGGGGAAAACTTGAGCCCCCTAGAAAAGGCAGAGGCCATCCAGCTGCTCAAGGGATACCAGGAAATGTTTTCTTCCCTACCCGGGTATTCCTCTGCTGCGGTCCATCAAGTTGAGACCCAGGGGAGAAACCTCAATAAGGCTTACCGTATCCCTGAAGCAGCTAGGGAGAACTTGATGAAAGAGATTCTGGACATGTTAAGGCTAGGGGTTATCGAGCCGTATCAGAATTACCTAACTACCATAGATCTGTGCAAGGGTTATTGGCAAGTGCTCCTGGAGCGAACGGCCATCCCTAAGTCAGAATTTGTCATCCCGTTTGGGCTTTCCTTTCGGAAAGAAGAATGCCGCACCATGGAACTGGGGGGGAGCAATGTGACAAAAATAATGTATTTTATTCACTCAGTTACTTTCCCTGCATTCGGTAGATGGATCTACCGAACACTGACCACCCCCTGGCTCATTAACTTCAAATAAACCACAAACTTAAGTGTTCCCTCTGTGTGGCCGCCGTTGGTATAGAAACATAGAATGTGACGGCAGATAAGAACTATTCGGCCCATCTAGTCTGCAAAATTTTCTAAATACTTTCATTAGTCCCTGGCCTTATCTTCTAGCTAGTGTAACAGGACTTCACCAGCACCAAAGCCCTGTGGACTAAAACAGTGAAAATGGCGAAATTATTGCAAGGGAATACCATTACTGGAGAATACAGCCGTTCGCCTGGTTCAGACGAATCCCTTTGTCTGAGAATAGGTGGCCGCCATTTCGGGACTTTACACGTGTTCGCGGCCATCTTACGCACGAACGGCGGTGTTTGCCTGTGAACGCATGGAACTAAAAACGGATACGCAAACAGGCGAACGCCGCTGAGACCTCCAGGAGCTCGTAAGTTCGTGCTGAAACTACCGAACGACCGGCCGTTCGGTAGTTTTGTTTAAGCATGCATGGGGATTCAGGCGAACGGCAGGATTACTGTGGAGGGCAAGGGGTTCGTGGGGTTTTTATTCACGAACGGGGACCGACCGCAAGGCCAAAACTTGTGGAACTCTTTTCGGCTGAAAATCCTGTGCGGTCGGTCAAAACTTCAAAGACCCATAACTCCCGAACCCCACAACCGAATGACTTGAAATTTGAATATGTTATTCCCCTGAGTGGTAGCTATTAAGCGGTGCTGGACTTAAAGGTGTACCCCCTGTTTTTGGGGTACATCCAGAATGTGGGTAAATTTATGTACGTTATAATTATGTTATGTGTTTATCTGAGGGGAGGAGACGTGGGGGTGTTACCCTGTGTGTAATTGGTTATTTTCATCCTCCCCCTGGGAGTGTCCTGTGTGTACTTGTTCCTAATAAAAGCAGGCTGGTTCTCCCAGACCTCAGATCTTCTTGACCCTGCAAAACGTAGCCTTGTCTCGTTCTTGGAAGGGGATTATTTGGGAATGTTATTCTGCTCCTGTTACAGCTGAACCTGACTTTTACTCTGGATATCGTGAATGGGATTATACCAGCTTACTTCTCCACAGCAGCTTGCAGGAAAAAAAGGACGTCTCCAACGGCCGATACCCTCTCTCTACCAGGGTAGCCGTTACATTGGTGGCAGCGGTGGGATGGTCCTTTTATCCAACAAACAAGCACTGAATGGAGTCACAGTATGCGAAGCTGAAAAGACCCACACTAAAGGATCTTTTGGAGAATCGTGGTAGGAGTGCCAGCAACAGACCACGGAGGGAGCTGATAGCTGACCTGCTGGAGCTGGACGAGATGGACAGGTCCATGGAGGTAACTGAACCCATGGCACCCATCAGTGAGGACGATGTGATTACTGCAATTGTGCAGCGGAGATTAGCTTTGTATCCAGTCACGTCTACAGAACTAATAACCCAACTGTTCCGGGAAGCAAGGGAAGAAATACCAACCAAGAGGGAACAAGAAACGGAACTGGTAAGAGCCCGACAGCTCACTACCCAGACAGTTCCTACCCCGCTACCCACTACTACGGTAAAGAAAATTCCCTTTACAGCATTTAAAGCCTTTGTAGAAAATGACGAGGAAATTGATGGGTATTTGGCGGACTTTGAAAGGCAGTGCTCACTACATCACATACCGCCAGAACAATGGGTCACGATCCTGGCGGGAAAACTGTCAGGGAAAGCTAATGAGGCTTTCCGAGCACTCACTACAGAGGAAATCACGCAGTACCAAAAAGTAAAAGAGGCACTGCTCACCAGGTATGCGGTAACCCCAGAAGCATACCGTCGTCGCTTCCGGGAGTCCAAAAAGAAAGCTGTGGACTCCCACATGGAATGGGCAAACCGACTACAGAGAGTAGCATCTCACTGGGTCCAAGGGTGCAAAGCCCACACGGGTGAGGAGGTGTTACAGTTGTTCTTAATGGAACATTTCTTCCAAGATTTGGCTGCGGACATACAAGACTGGGTACGAGATCGGCGCCCCGCCAATTTAAAGGAGGCGGCTCGGCTGGCCGATGAATATGCCGAGACAAGGAAAGTAAGCCAGGGTACTACACGACAAGCTCATAAAATAGAGCCACGCGCCCCAGCCGCTGTCTCACGCCCAGAATTTCGGGCTCCAGTCCCACCAGGACCACCCCGTCCTCAGGGGCCTACTAACTACCCCCGGGATTTGTCCAAGGTGACGTGCCATCACTGCAGCAACCTCGGACATATTGCCCGGTATTGTCCCCTAAGATCCAGTAACAACAACTGGAGGCGTACAACTCCCAGCCCAGAGGCCCCTGCAGCACGACCCGCTGCGGCTCACTGTCTGGAAGCCGAAATGGGCCCTGAAGAATGTCTGGGGATTTTGTATGAAGCAGACCCCATACAAGCTGCCTCCCCAGACAATCGACAACATCACCGACAGGAGGTTAAGGTGAATGGACAAACAGCACAAGGCCTAAGAGACACCGGGGCTACCATCACTTTGATCCAAAAACACCTAGTGAAGCCGGAGGATGTGTCTACCCGCACTGTTGCTGTTCGGGTCGCAGGGGGCGCTGTTTTTCGCTTGCCCACCGCCCGAGTACACTTAGATTGGGGAGTTGGATCAGGAAAAACCACCGTCGGCATTATGGACAACTTGCCTGCCGAGGTCGTATTGGGAAATGACATTGGACCTTTAACTTCAGCATATTTGCCCACACCTGCTGCCGCCTGTCCCGTAACCACCCGTTCACAGTCCCGTGTCGCAGATGATCCTAATACAGGCCGGGAGACCCAGGTAAGCCAAGCACCCACATGTCACCCCACTACGATAAGCAGGCCCATAGCTTGGGACACCCCAGAGGAGTTTGGGAGGGAAACTAGAGAGGACCCCACCCTCCAAAAGTATCGGGAATTAGCTGACCGTGGGGGGGACGGACGGGAAAGTTTTCTATGGGATGGGGACAGGTTATACAGACTGGCTGAAGGCAGAAAGAGAGGCTGTGCCCCTTCGCAGAAGCGCCAACTGGTGGTACCCAAAAAGTACCGGTTGGAACTTCTCCGAATTGGCCACGACATTCCGTTGGCAGGACATCTAGGGGGTAACCGCACCACCTTCAGGATCACCCAGACCTTCTTTTGGCCGGGGATCTCGAAGGATGTGCGACGCTACTGCAGTACTTGTGACGTATGCCAACGGGTAGGGAAGAGAGGGGATCACCCTAAAGCTCGACTGTTACCTATGCCTGTGATCGAGGAACCATTTAGCAGGGTAGCAGTCGACCTAGTGGGACCCCTACCTAACCCCAGTCCCTCTGGTAAGAAATACATCCTTACCGTGGTGGACTATGCTACTCGCTACCCAGAAGCCGTCGCTCTGACGAATATCCAGGCTGACACTGTCGCCAGTGCTTTAGTCGGGATATTCACCCGAGTGGGATTCCCCCAGGAAATCCTGTCCGACAGAGGGACCCAGTTTACCGCAGACCTAACCCAACAGCTGTGGAAGGTCTGTGGTATTAAGTCCCTGCTTAGTTCCCCGTACCACCCACAGACTAACGGTCTCTGTGAACGCTTTAACGGTACCCTAAAGCAATTGCTGAGGACCTTTACAGCGGAATACAGAGACTGGGAACGATTCTTGCCGCACCTCCTGTTCGCTTATCGGGAGGTGCCGCAGGAATCCACAGGGTTCTCTCCCTTTGAACTGCTCTATGGCCGGAGAGTACGAGGACCTCTCGACCTCATCCGGGAGCACTGGGAGGGGGAGACAGAACACGACGGTGTACCCATCGTGCCATACGTATTAGAAATGCGGGACCGTATGGAACAGTTAGCCCGGATGGCACGGGACCACCTCCATGCGGCCCAAGGGCACCAGAAACGTTGGTACGATCAGGGCGCCCGCCAGAGAACCTTCCAAGTAGGCCAGAAGGTGCTGGTACTTAGACCTGTCAAAGGGAATAAGCTCCAGACCTCCTGGCAGGGCCCTTACAAAGTGGTAGCACAAGTCTGTGACACCACCTACGTAATCGCCAGCAACAAAGATGAAAGGATCCGGAAGTCCTTTCATATAAATCTACTAAAGGAATATCAGGAAAGACCCGAGGATATAGCCGCCATATGCATACCCGCTGCCGAAGACCCTGACAGCTTACCCATACCCGACCTATTAGCTAACCCAGAACCTAAAACCCTACTCAATACCGTACAGCTAGGGGAGCGGTTAACTCCCGCCGAAAAGGGACAGATCCGACAGCTGCTGACTGAGAAAGGGTTGACGTTTTCCCAAGAGCCCGGGTACACCCCCTTAGCAACCCACTATGTAGAGACCCCAGGACAAACCCCTCTCCGACAAACCCCCTATAGGATCCCTGAGGCAGTAAAAGAGGAGATGAGGAAGGAGATCCAAGAAATGTTAAGACTGGGGGTGATAGAGCCCTCGGACAGTCCGTGGGCCTCCCCGGTGGTTCTAGTCCCCAAGAAAGACGGAACCACTCGGTTCTGTGTCGATTATCGACGTCTCAATGACAGAACCGTGACAGACGCCTACCCCATGCCCCGAGTAGACGAGCTATTAGATCGCATTGCCAGGGG